TAAAAGATACGATACATTTAAAAATAAAAATACTAGTTGCATTGGCCGGGAATCGAACCCGGGCCTCCCGCGTGGCAGGCGAGAATTCTGCCACTGAACCACCAATGCTTCACACAGGGAGTCATCGCTTCATCCATCTACATGTGGAGTTGTTGTGATTTTTCGATTTAAAGCTTTCGTGACTGCAGGGATTCATCTTCTTGGTTCTTTCGGTAAAGTCACGTAGAAGGGAAAAAATACAATAATAAAAATAAAACATAATAAAATACAATTCTCACGACGTTTCGGTCACAATGCAAGCAGCCGTCCTCAGGTAAAGAACAGGGCTGTCGGAAAGACAGCGTCTGTTGTGACTTCCTGTGGCGTCTACCAGAAGTCATACATTCCACAATCCAGCAATGGGATTGATTTACTGATCATGGCCAGAGGCTTGTGTTTTTTTGAATTCAGTAAAAAAACGCAATATTCCAAGAGAATGCGAATACGAGATGGTGGTCCTTCCTTCCGATATTAATAAGCCACTGGAGATATGCACTTTTCCATCTCGAGGTAAATATTACTCCATGACATCAAATCTCAAATGCTGTGAAACTGACTAGTCAGCAAAAGTGATATAAGTAGCTGTGAAGTCGTGTGAAGCATTGGTGGTTCAGTGGCAGAATTCTCGCCTGCCACGCGGGAGGCCCGGGTTCGATTCCCGGCCAATGCAACATAACTATTTTTTTTATCCTGCGTTGAAACTTTTTTATACTGCGTCGAAACTTTTTTTAACACTGCGTTGAAACTTTTTTTTATACTGCGTTGAAACTGAAATGTCTGTCAGTGTTCTTCCAAGGATGTTCCTGTGTATGTCTTTTATTCGGGAAATATTCGATTTTAGTTCCATTCATCCCTGGCCAGTAACTAAAGTCGCTCAAGAAGTAAAAGTACTACGTGAAGCATTGGTGGTTCAGTGGCAGAATTCTCGCCTGCCACGCGGGAGGCCCGGGTTCGATTCCCGGCCAATGCAAGCGCTTTTTTTTTAATATATAAACAAAAAGTTATTCTACATTCCAACTCTTGGAGTTTAGGGTGTATTAATATCAGTGATTTTCATAACTACATTTCCCTTTTATTTATATGAGAATACAGAAACATCTTCTTGGTTCTTTCAGTAAAGTCACGTAGAAGGGAAGTAATAAAATAATAAAAATAAAACATAATAAAATTATTCTCACGACGTTTCGGCCACAACGCAAGCAGCCATCCTCAGGTGAAAACCATTCAGACTCTGTCGCCTCGACGGACCTGGTTTTCACCTGAGGACGGCTGCTTGCGTTGTGGCCGAAACGTTGTGAGAATAATTTTATTATGTTTTATTTTTATTATTTTATTACTTCCCTTCTACGTGACTTTACCGAAAGAACCAAGAAGATGAATCCCTGCAGTCACGAAAGCTTTAAATCAAAATTTTATCCAGAAACAACCAGCTGCCACTCCAATGCCTGTACAGGTGTAGTGACATAAGAAGGGAGGGGCTGCTGGGGGCTCTGGGATCCCAGGCGAGTCCAGACGCTTAAGCCTCTGGGCGCCAGGCGTTGAGTTCCCAGGCACTTAATCCCCTGGGCGCCGCCAACGGGGGGGGGGGGCTGTGTGTGCTCTGTGGGATGTCTGGTGGCGCACACGGCCCTACCCCTCGTTGGACCAGGCATAAAAGGAGAGCTCCCTGGACGATCGGGGCCCAGTTGTAACTCAAGACCCACGACCCACGACCAGCCATCTGAAGACCCTGGGATGCTGTGAGAGCCAGCGCTGGGACTCTGGAACTCCCGACTCTACGATCTTGTGAGGGCGAGTTCCAGAGCGTAGCCAGAGTAGAGTATCTAGGCTGTGTAGCTAGGCTGTGTACCTAGGCTGTAACAGAGTATCAGGACTGTTGGAGAGTTGAAAGGTTGGAGTGTTGTATTGTAATAAAGAAGTTACCTCTACAAGTGTCTCCGGAACCCGTTACACAGGTATTCTTGTACTGTACACTTACTGGATAACTAATCCGTGTGCTCCACTTTCTCCCTCTCGGTATAATTACAAGGCGGTCCCATGCCCCATTCGCACACATTTCAGGTTTTGACATGAACTAATTAAACATGTAGAGGAGTCTTGAATCGGTGGGTTGTTTTGTCCCTGTGCTCTAAAGCCATTCTATTATCGTGCAGAATATTCGTTAAATCCTAGTGCAGGATAAGTGAGGTGAAAGGTAGATAAGAGTGGGGAGAAGTTAAAATATAAGTGACCGTATCGATAGTTATAGGAGTGCCTACAACTGGTGCAAGAATAGGTGAATAAAGTGTAAGCAGGTGACTTGTTACAACGCGTCGGTGTGAGTAATATTTGAGGACAATACACTATAGTAATAGAGCAAGTGCAGAATCACTGAACCGGAATTGATAGCTTGAAAGCATTTAGCACGGGCCCTTGAAAGTGCAGAACCCGTAGCTACATATGTAGCTACTTTTGCTACCAGGATAATCCAGCACTGGGCACCGAGGGATCAACAGACTATTGCACACGTTCATCGACATTTTCGGAATGTGCTGTGTGTCAGTCACAACTCAGATGCTAAGCAGAGGGCTGAGCCTGGTCAGTCCTCGGACGGGTGACCACCAAAGACAAATATCCTCCATATAGCCTTATCAGACTGTTGGGGCAAGTGCTGTTAGCGAGTATCACCTATGAAGGCCAGAATGGCACATGAGGGGGTGAATGACCGGCACCACACCCGGCCGCCTTTGGCTCCCTAGTGACGATGTCTTTACGCAACGCACCAGGTACTCATTTGAGGCTGAGTCGACCTAGGGGAGGCCCAGGACCGGGCCTCCCCTAAATCGAACTCGGGTCGCCAGGTGACCACCTGCACGCACACACACACAGGTTGTCCTTCGTGATCCGCATCGACGACCCTTGCATGGCTATCATCATCATCCAGCAGGGGATTGATAATCTGGCTGGTTGGCTATAATGTGTGTCGCTATGTTAGGGGAGGGAAAACTCCAGGATCCCCGGGTTTCTCCACGCCCTGGTTACCGTAGTTACCGATGGGGCGGGGGGGGAGCTGTATGACCCAATAGGCCCACAGTAGGCACTGTGCCAAGGGCTTACTCACTCATCCACTCAGCCACAAATTCACTCATTCTCCCACGAACCCATTCACTCTTCAGCACCTTTTTATCCAATACGATACAATAGGTACGGAGCCTAATGCCTACTCACTCACCCAGCCACCCACTAACTCTTTCTCCCACCAACCCACTCATCAAGGCCGTATGGTCCAATAGGATACAGTAGGCACGGAGTCTAGGGCTTACTCGCTCACCCACTCAGCCACAAATTCACTCATTCTCCCACCAACTCACTCATCAAGGCCGTATTACCCAATACGATACAATAGGCATGGAGCCTAAGGCCTACTCACTCACCCAGCCACCCACTCACTCATTCACTTACCAACTCACTCTTCAGGGCCGTATTATCCAATAGGCCACAATAGGCACGGAGCCTAGGGTTTACTCACCCACTCAGCCACAAATGCACTCATTCTCCCACCAACCCACTCATTCATCAAGGCCATATTATCCAATAGGATACAATAGGCACGGAGCCTAAGGCCTACTCACTCACCCAGCCACCCACTCACTCATTCACTTACCAACTCACTCATCAAGGCCGTATTATCCAATACGATACAATAGGCATGGAGCCTAGAGCCTACTCACTCAACCACCAAGCCACCCACTCATTCATAATGTAGTTTTTTGGGAGGGCTAGATTGCGTAAATATAAATGTGACTTGTTCGAAGGACGATTGACGACGGGCGATGTTAAGGGAGGGAACGAAACCAAAAGGAGTTTGTGTTCCTAAGTCGTTGGGCTGCTGCAGTGGCAGCAGCCAAGCTGCTTGCTATCCCAGTCTTCCCGAAAACATAAAAAATTGTCAAATTAGTTGATGCCGCTGCAGCTGCTGCTGCGTTGGCAGTGGTGCACACATTCCAAGCAACAAAGGCAATACAATAAAAACATCACATTCGTCAACAACGCTGCGGCGTTAAAATGAAGATGAAATTATACGATGGGTGGCGTTTCAGCTAAGGGCGCTGTTTGATGGCACGTGAACACGGCCTTGTTTTTATGCGCCACGAAAAACGTCAATTGCTCTAAAACACATTCCTGCGGAGGGAGCTGGTAGGAACGTTGTGTTGCTCGGTCAATGGCCTGCAGGGTCAACAGCGGCGTGGTGTATTCCGCAAATATGGCCGACTGTGAGGGCGAGCACAAGCCGGCGTGAGTAGGTTAAACGTTGAGTTTTATAAGGGCACCACGGGGTGACCAGCCCCTCCCCACCCAGCCCCTCCCCACCCAGCCCCTCCCCACCCAGCCCCTCCCTCCCAATCAGTTTCAAGGACAATGCATATATTGTCAGAGTGTGTTTTTTTGTTTGCAATTTGACTGCAAGTATTGTGGTTAATGCAGACATGAATCCTTGTAAAAGGTTTCAGTTTTGTTGCCAGAAAAAATGGGAAAAACCCTATTATTATACTGAAAACAAATATCCTGAAAATTACTCAATAGGGATCACACGCAGCAGCAACATCATCACCCCAACTGCAAAAACTTCGCAGGATCCTCCTGCATAAGAGTCTTGAGACTCAGAAACTTCCCTAGGTAAACAATTGTAATAAAACATAAATATATGGAGTTCAAAATTGTCCTTATTCAGTGTTGTGTCAATCCACTGTTGGATGAAAGCCTCGACATGTAGTGTCGGTCACGGCACTCGTTTGACCATACTTCACCGCAGTGGTCAGTGCGGGTTGATGCAGAGGGTGCCCAGGTTCCTGATTGAACATTCCCTTCCGCTGACGCTAGCCGTGGCCGGGAATCCAACTCGGGTAGCCGGGCTCACAGCAATGCGCCGTTCGCAACATAGACGCCGCTTCAGAATACAAAACCGCAAAATTCATTCAAAAAAACCTTCACATACATCCTGTATTTTACAACGTTACATGCACAGTTTGGGTAAACACACGTGACACAACGTAGCCACCCCATGGTCGTCGAAATTCGAAACTGATGCCGCACCTCCGATTAGCACAGGAGGGGCACAGGAGGGACATTGAGCCGGCCCATGATCTCGTCACAATCACAGGAGGAGAGACAGCACGGGGCCAAATACATAGCCTTCAACTGCAGTTAAGCGAGCAGCACCTATGAAGGCCAACACGGCCCCACGAGGTGGGTGAGTGGCCAACACCATGCCCGGCTGCCTTTGTCTCTCCGCCTCTGATGTTTACACACCGCGCAAGGTACTCATTTAAGGCCGAGTCGACCTAAGGGAGGCCCACACTCGCTTATAATATTCGCCACTGCTCTTTGTCGCGAGCAGGACTCTTAACTCGACATGCCGGGTTCATTGCACAGCACGTGAACCACTGCATCAGCTCTCCAGTCGCTATAAGAGCAACAGCCGCAATGTGCCACGAATTAGTGGTGCTGACATCACCACGGCGCTTGTGCCAGGCTAGGTGCACTTCCCCGCAATGGCTATAGATACAAAGACAAAGATCCCCCGTATAGCCTTAACAGACTGTAGGTGCAAGTGCTGTGAGCGAGCACCTATGAAAGCTGGAACGGTACACGAGGGGGTGGGTGGCCAGCACCATGCCCGACCGCCTTTGTCTCCCCAGTGGCGATGTTTACACTGCACCAGGTACTCATTTCAGGCTGAGTCGACCTAGGGGAGGCCCAGGACCGGTTCAGATAATCGTCACTGGTGTTGGCCGTGAGCGGGAATCGAACCCGGGTCACCAGGTTCATAGTGCAGCGCGCTAACCACTACACACACTCACATGTATGTCCCAACTAACGTTACGTTCCAGAATGAATGATTACAGTGTCATAAATTGGAAATCTGCTAATAAACACAACCATATGCAAACCAAAACATGCTACATTGTACATATATCGTAAGCATCGAGACCTTGATGATGACGTGAATAAAAAATAAAAATGCCAACTGCAGTTTTTTTTTTAATGCCCTCAAATGATGTTGAGAATCGGACGAATATCTGACAAATCGTTTGGCGATGCCACTGCCGCTTCTGCTGCCGTTGCCACGCTGGCAACGGTGCACAGGCACGTGGAGTGAAACGTCGGGCATCGCGGTGCGCCCCGTGAAATAACCCGCGTTGATCGGAAGGTCAACAGGCAAAAGCACCACGGGGGCATGCCGTGGTCTGTGGCGTTTCCTCGGGCGAGTTTCACGACCACTGCCCCGCGCCACCGCTGCCCGAGCCTCGGTCTGCTTCGTTAAGAAGCAGACGCCAGTCGCGTTGACTCCACAAACGACGACTTTGTCAACAAATTTCAATTTAAAGCTTTCGTGACTGCAGGGATTCATCTTCTTGGTTCTTTCGGTAAAGTCACGTAGAAGGAAAATAATAAAATCATTTATCATTTTCCTTCTACGTGACTTTACCGAAAGAACCAAGAAGATTTGTCAACAAAGTCGTCCGCCTAGTCTCAAGACGTATTTACAGGTTTGACTCGCTCGAAAATTTGCCTTTTTTTGGTCGTAACGTTCCGACCCCTCCCTACTGGACATCTGTGAAAAGAAAAAAGCTTTATAGCTCATCGGATTCCTCAAGTGTAATTAAATAGTTCTGATTTTGTGTGGACTTCTTTCGCACTCTACATAACCGACCGTGCTAATCGGATTTTTTTTATTTTGATACTTGAAACCAGTGAGCCCGGACACAACCTATGAACTATAAACATTTTGTGTTTATTAAAAAAACCTTTTTATATTACCAGGTAAGGCCCACTGAGCTATATAGTTCTTTTTTTAGAAGCAACCTGGCGATCACAAATGCTCAACGAAGTGGCTTATCGCCTGCAAATTTATAGCAGCCAAATATTTTAGACGCATGTTTCAAAATGTGGACGGAATAACCGGGGGAGAGACCCTGAGAAAAATCAATGTGACTACGGGGAGGGAGGGAGAAGAGGGAGGGAGGTGGGGGAGGTGTGGGAGGGAGGAGAGGGAGGAGACGGAGGGAGGGGGGGGAGCGAGGCAGGGGAGGGAGGGAAGGGGGAAGGGAGGGGGGAAGGGGGGAGGGAGGGAGGGAAGGGGGGAGGGAGGGAAGGGGAGGAAGGGGGGGAGGGGGGAAGGGAGGGAGGGGAGGAGAGGCAGGGAGGGAGGACAGGGAGGAGATGGAGGGAGGAGAGGGAGGAGAATGAGGGAGGGGGGAGCAGGGGAGGGAGGGATGGGGGGGAGGGAGGGGGGGAGGGAAGGGGGGAGGGGGGGAGAGAAGGGGGGAGGGAGGGGGGAAGGGAGGGGAGGAGAGGGAGGGGAAGGGACAGAGGGATGGGGGTAGAGAGGGAAGGAAGGGGGGAGGGAGTCTGAGTCTAAGGCAGGAGCGTGTGGATCAGTCGGTGCGCTCAGTCGGCTCGCTCAGTCGGCGCGCTCGTCGCTGAACCGCTGGAAGTGCAGTGAGAGCGGCGCCTCCTCGCCGTCGTGCCGCCGGTAGCACCACTCGTCGCGCGTCACCACGTACGCCACCGCGGTGCCGAACGCGATCAGTGCCAGGCCCAGGCAGTTGGCGAGGATCCCCTCCGCCGGGTACTCGCCGTAACGGTCCCTGTGGCCGAGCCGGCACGACAATCGTGACAGTCGCAACCAACGCACAACCAACAACACAACCACAGAAAACGACACAATCATCACAACAAACAACCATAGCAACAAACACAGCCAACATCACACCCAACGCAACCCACACACGCCTACGTGTGTGTGTGTGGGTGTTTATGTGTGTGGGTGTATGTGAGGAGAGGCTTGCGGAGCCTCAATGTGGTTTCAGGAAAGGGCGGTCCTGCATGGATGTCATATTTTCTGTCCGTTTGCTACAGCAGAGGTGTAGGGAATTCCAACAAGACCTACATCTCTGCTTTCTTGACCTGGTCAAGGCCTATGATACCATCAGTAGGCCTGGGCTCTGGGTTGTTCTTCGTGCTTTCGGAGTCCCTGACCCTCTGCTCACGATCATTAAGGACCTTCATGATGGTGAGCGGGCCCGGGTAAAACGACGTGGCCGGGAGTCGGAGCCATTCGCTGTACACCTTGGGGTGCGACAGGGATGTCCTCTGGCTCCCACATTATTTAACATCTATTTTGACCACGTATTTCGTGAAGCCTTCAATAGCTGTACTGGATGAATTTCCATCTGGTACAGATATAATGGGAGGCTGATCGATGCCCGGGTGCGGTCAAGGGATGGCTCCCTATTGCTCAACCATGTTATATATGCCGATGATCTGGTAATAGCTGCTTACTCAGAGGAGTAGTTGGAGGTGCTGCTGCTAAACCTGGAGCTTGCCACGAAGAGGTGGGGCCTTACCATCAGCCCCACCAAAACTAAGCACCTGCTAAGGGTATTTTGTACTATCGGACACTCCACCCCCACAACTCTCAATTGGTGATGCAGCAGTTGTGGAGAGAGTGGAGAGTTTCCCATATCTGGGCAATGTGCTTATAACAGCAGAGGTCTCACTCCGAATCAGTCAAGCGGCATTATCTTTTCATTGGTTGCGTAACGCTGTGTGATAGCTACCTGGTCTGTCGCTCCGCACGAAACTTCAGGTCTTCTCGGCCACAGTCATTTCCTCCCTTCTCTACGCTTGCGAAACATGGACCCCCCTAATGGAACATCTTTGCTGGTTAGAAACATTTAGGCTGGCCTGCCTAGGATCCATCCTGGGTTTAACCAGGCTGGATTGTGTGAAGAGCTCACAATTCCTTGAAAGATGTGGACAAAGTCCCATCGGTGAGCTCCTCCGGCAGGCAAGGCTGCGTTGGCTGGGCCATGTAGCCCGCATGCCAAGTCACCGCATGCCTAAACAGCTTTTGTTCAGCCGAATCGAATTCATAGGTGCTCCCTAACAGCACTTGCCCCAACAGTCTGTTACAGGCTATGAGGGGGATCTTTGTCTTAGTGTGTGTGCGTGTCGGGGTGGTAGTGGTGGTGGGGGTGGGGAGCAAGGGCACACACCCGATGGCGTAGATCAGCTTCTCGGTGAGACCCATCGTTGCCGTGGCGATGGAGAGCGCAAAGAGCGCTAGGCCGAAGAAGGTGTGGAGCGAGCGGTAGGCGGAGCGCGACTCCTGCGCCGCCCGCGGGAACAGGAAGAAGCCGAACCCCAGCAGCCACTGCGGCAAAGAGGAGACAAAACATCCATAATTTGAGATCAGTTGACCGTTTGCGGGCCACGGTCATTCCAAATTTCCGTCGTTCAGACACCAAAACTGGCTCCCAGCTGATCTGCTATCTCCTTGTCTATACAGGGTGTTTAAAAAAAGTTAACCCGTAAAAACTAAGTTTTTCACTATAAATCCTTTATATGCGTGGCGGCTAGAGTCCTCTCGTCCTCTGGCTTGAGATGGCTGCCACCTATGGGTCAGATGATTGCCTGCCACAATTAAGCAATTGGTAATTGAATATTTAATTTATTTTCCCTAAACAGTGTAAAATTTTGGAAAAAAAATTTCACGAAAATAAATTGTCAAGCACAACGAGTCTGTGTGCTAAATGTCAGGTCGATTGGATCATGGGAAGTGGGTTAAAAAACGACCGAAAGATTTGCACGGTCCTAAGCAAGCAAGCAAGCAAGCACGCAAGCACGCAAGCAAGCAAGCTAGCGAACTTAATATAAAGGATTTAAAAAGATGGACCAGATTTGAAATCGCTATATCTCTGCAACCACGAACCGCCCATGAATGAAACTCTTACCACTTGAAAGGGCGGGGCATAGAGAGGGCGGGGCATATAATTTTTAAATAATTACCTCTCGCACAAACAGCCCCTAGCCGCAGTCATTCGCAAGACACACCGCTTCAATGTTGGATAGGTCGCACGGGACCCCAAGACTTGGCGCTACACTCTTGGTCCTCAAGATCCCCAGACATCACACCCTGCGACTTTTTCTTGTGGGAACACGTGAAAGACCGTGTTTTTGTGCCACCACTAGCGACTAATCTGGATGATTTCAAAAACAGAATCACGGCAGCGGTGACTTCAGTGGAAGAAGACATTTTGAGAGGCGTTTGGGACGAATTCAACTATCGTCTCGATGTTGTCCGTACAGCAGGTGGAGGGCACATAGAGCATTTATAAAATGGTTAGTAAAACTTAATAACTCATTAAACCGTTCGTAACTTTTTGTGTAATTGTAACATGTTGCCATCGTGAAGTATACTGCTTTGAAATTGTGTCCATCTCTTTTAAACACCCTGTATAATAGGCCATGACGAGACGAGACGCCGCTGGTCTATTAACGACGCTCTCCCACACAAACATAACAGCACATCCACACTAAAGGTTTCTTTTTGGGCTGGATTGCGCGAAATATTAACTCTTCGTTAAACCCCACCACTACCCGATTGCAGCCGCGGTGGCGAAATGTTAGCTCCCTCGCTCGGTATGCAGGAGGTCATGGGTTTGTTATAACGTGACAACCCCTTACTAATTGGCTAAAACTAAAAACTAAGCTACTCTTTGGTTATTATAATAATTCTTTTTTTTATCCTTTTATCTGGCAACAAAACTGACACCTTTTTTTTTTACAAGGAGTCATGTTTGCATTGACCACAATACCTGCGGTCGGAATGCAAACAAAAACCCTGATAATGTATGCACTGTCCTATGAAATTGACTGGTCCACACCCGAGACAGCTTTTATTAGAGCCTCGTCTCACATGGTGTTGGACCAGATGACGCCAAAAGGCGCACAACTCAAAGACAATGCACCATCAGAGTATGAGAGCTCGGGGTAAGCATTTACACCATTGGAACCTCCTTTGCCAGTAGCAAAATATGATAATTGGTGTTTTACCCTTTTATCTGGCAACATAACTGACAGGTCTTTGTGTGTGTCTCTCTCTGCACGTGTGTCTGCCTATGCTGCTCCAGTGTCTGTGGTTTAATCATTCATTCTTACCTGATGATGGTTGCTTCTGTTGCAACCAAAACGTCGTATTCTATTACTATTTCATTTTATTTTCAACGTGACTTTACCGAAAGAACCAAAGAGTAATTCCTGCAGTCACGGAAGCTTCGAATCTAGTTTAAAAACTAAACTCTTTTAAATTTCGATTTAAAGCTTTCGTGACTGCAGGGATTCATCTTCCTGGTTCTTTCGGTAAAGTCACGTAGAAGGGAAATAATATTATTTTATTATTTTCCTTCTACGTGACTTACCGAAAGAACCAAGAAGATAAACTCTTTTAATTTTACCAGGTAATGCCCACTGATCAATATAGCTCTTTTTCAAAAGCGACCTGGCTATCACAAACGATAGCTCAACGAAGTGGCTTATGTGGACATGTATAGCAGCCAAATGCTCTCAACACGTGATGCTGATTCTAAATGTGGAGTGACAAACTGGAGGATCCGGAGATGAATCCACGCAGGGCCCCCTCTTATTCGTTAGCGACAAACAATCACGCCCAGTGTGTGGAGCCCCTCACCTGCTGTACCGCCCGTATTGGAACATCAGTCTTGATAAACATTTCCGATTCTATCCCATGGGGGTGGGAGGGGGGGGGGGCGCACGCCACGATTACCTGCACGAAGTAGAGGATGACCAAGCCGAGGCCGCACCAGCTATGCAGGCTGTAGAGGTGCGGGTAGCCCTTCATCTGGTGGAAGTCGAACACGGCCACCAGTCCTGCGGGGGCGACATGCGTCAAAGATAAAGACAAAGGTCCCCCCCGCCCCCACTTCTATAGCCTTAACAGACTGTTGGGGCAAGTGCTGTGAGTTAGTAGTTCCTATGAAGGCCGGCACACACGCAAATATACACACACGTAGAAAGATCACCCCGCATAGCATTAACAGACTGTTGGGGCAAGTGCTGTTAGCGAGTAGCACCTATGAAGGCCGGCACGGTACACGAGGTGGTGGTGTGGGCGATGTTTACACATTGCACTAGGTACTCACTTGAGGCTGAGTCGACCTAGGGGAGGCCCAAGACTGGTTCAGATAATATATAATCGTCACTGGTGTTGACCATGAGCGGGAATCAAACTCGGGTTGCCAGATTCGTAGCGCGTCGCACTAACCGCTACACTACTGCGAGGCGCTTCACACACATACACGCACACGTGTTACCCAGGATCACAATGTGACTCCATCACCCACCCGCTCGCTCGCTCACTCATTCACTCGCCCACTCACCACACTGCTTCTACCCTCGCCTTGCTCCATTCTGGAATTCCCTCTCCTGTCATTGTCGTCATTGTCATCATCGTCGTCTTCATCATCATCATCATCATCGTCGTCGTCATCGTCGTTGTCATCGTCATCGTCGTCATCATCGTCGGCATCATCGTCGTCGTCGTCGTCCTCGTCATCGTCATCATCATCGTCGTCGTCATTGTCGGCATCATCGTCGTCGTCATCGTCGTCGTCCTCGTCATCATCATTATCGTCGTCGTCATCGTCTCTTTGCTCCCCCCACCCCCCCCGCATACCCAGCTCTTCCCATACTGTAATAACCTCCCCTCAGTTCAAGAAATGTGTTCCATCTTTGTACAGCAAACTGGAGTTTAAAAACAACAAGATCAAAAATCCTCCGGTAACATTGCACGCGCACGTTTCAACACAGAGCCGACAATGCAGTGAGGTCACCGTACAGCACTCTGGCAGAACGTACGGTCTGTTTTTTGTTGTTGTCATTAATAAACTTTCTTATTGCAAGCAAACGTCGTCTTCGCCTAGATCTGCACACCGCAGACAAAGCAAACCAAGAACGTTGGCCGGGCACACGTCGTGATGACGACGTCACCGTGTAAACGCCGTGCCACAACCGCACGGTGTCCGCTCGCTGTCGTACAGACAGAGAGAGAGAGGGGGGACGACTCGGAGACGCCAGGAGGAGGGGACCACAGTCGAGGAGCGGGGAAGGCAGCAACAGCAGCAGCAGCCTCCGCGGTGAGTCGGGGTCAACAATTGGCCAAGCTCTGCAGCCCTCTATATATTAAGGCATCAAGGGCCAATGAATGAGTGCTTATACGTGGAGTAGGAGAAAACCCACGCGTGCATGCGAGGGAGCAACGCTCTATCCCATGCAGGTGGAACAGGTGGAGTCCACATTTGCTGTACCTCCTGGCGAGCCTGGGTATGGCTCCCAAACTAAAGTAAACTTTATTTTTATTTCACCAGCTTAGGCTCACTGAGCTATACAGCTCTTTTTAAAAAGTGACCTGGCCACAAATGATGGCTCAACGAAGTGGATTATCATGTGGACATTTATCGCTGCCAAATACTCGTAACGCAAGTTGATTCTCAATGTTGGAGAGAAAAACCAGGGGCACCTGGAGAAAAATTCACGCGACCCTGGGAAGGACACGCAAACTCTAAACATACAGCAGGCATCAGGGTCGGGATCGAACCCACAACCTGCTCCACACCAGGCGAGGTCGTTAACATCTCCAAGCCACCCAAGAAAGCCGACAACTACGCGATCGAGCGAGAGAGTGAGCAACCCAATCGAGGTGCCGAAGCACCAAACAGCGCGCAGCGCGAGCCGGGGACACATCAGAGCGCCGCCCGTGTGACGGACGATTTGTCCCGTGATGCAACACCGCTAGCAGGAGTGGGACTGGAACGACTGAACTAAAATACCTTGGTGACCTCGTCAAACAGCATTAACCATGACCACGTGAACTCCGTTCGTCCTCGCAGCGGCAACGGCTGTTGGCTAGCCATTGAAATAAGACGGTCACCGCATCGCGCGCTTTCAGATGCGCTTCTGCGGCCGTCTGGAAAGCTCTTCCTTCCGATATTAGGAAACCACTGGAGCTATGCCCCCCCCCAACTACGAGCAGGCCTATCCCAACCCCTCCTTATCAATCCATCTTGCTTTACTGCATCAAAACTACACCACGTACAATAACCCAATTTCGATTTAAAGCTTTCGTGACTGCAGGGATTCATCTTCTTAGTTCTTTCGGTAAAGTCACGTAGAAGGGAAATAATAAAATAATAAAAATAAAACATAATTAAATAATTCTCACGACGTTTCGGCCACAACGCAAGCAGCCGTCCTCAGGTGAAGAACATGTCTGTCATTTAGACTCTGTCTTCTCATTTAGACTCTGTCATCTCATTTAGACTCTGTCTTCTCGACAGACATGTTCTTCACCTGAGGACGGCTGCTTGCGTTGTGGCCGAAACGTCGTGAGAATTATTTTATTATGTTATATTTTTATTATTTTATTATTTCCCTTCTACGTGACTTTACCAAAAGAACCAAGAAGAATAACCCAATTCTTAATTTCAAATTATGATCATGCTATGTACAATTGTATAATTGCTGTAAAGCGCCTTGGTGAAGGCGTGAAATAAATCTCATTAAGATAAGATTAAATAAATCATCGAGATTGACAAACACATTTCCTTCGAAGTCATTTTTGTGTTCAGTTTGTTGTCCTTCCCCCCGCACCTCTGATGAGCATGGCTGGCTCTAGCACGGCACGAAAGAAGTTCTACGTACGTGCAGACGCGTATTGAGCGCGAAGACGCTCGGAGCGGAGGCTCACCGATTATGGCGGCGATGAGGGCGCCGACGTGAACGATGCCGTGTATGATCTTCACGCTCTTCTTCGGCTCGTTCCTGAAGATCCTGAAGATGAGGATGGCTGTCGGGAAGCAAGGAGTCGCACAAAGACGAAGATGACCTCCCCAGCCAGCCCACCCCATGTAGAATTCAACAGACTACCGACGCATTGGTATTTACGCAATCTAGCTCATTAAAAAAAACCTTTATTATGGATACCATCGATAGCAAAAGCTTACGTGTAAACAAAAAACCCCTCCGTGTTGTGGAAAGTGCTGTTAGCGAGCAACACCTATGAAGGTGGGTGGCTAGCACCATGCCAGGCCAGCATCGTCTCCCCAGACGCGATGTTTACACACCGAAGTAGATTCTCATTTGAGGCTCAGTTGACCTAGGGGAGGCCCGGTTCGTATAATCGTCACTGGTTTTCGCCGTCTGCGGGAATCGCCGGGTTCGTGACGCAGAGCGCTAACCACTACACTACCACCCCCCACTCCTACACAGACAAATACAAAGATCCCCTGCAGAGCCTAAACAGACTGTTGGGGCAAGTGCTGTTATCGAGCAGGACCTATGAAGGCCGGCACGGCACACGAGGGGGGTGGGTGGCCAGCATTACGCCCGACCGCCTTTATCTCCCCATAAGGGATGTTTACACATCGCACTAGGTACTCATTTAAGGCTGAGTCGACCTAGGGGAGGCACAGGACTCCTTCAGATTAACCGTCACCGGTCTTAGCCGTGAGCAGGAATCGAACCCAGCTTGCTGTGCGTTGATTCAAGAGAAATTAATTAAAAGTAAATCCACTCACATCATATTCTTGGTTTTTTCGGTAAAGTCACGTAGAAGGTAAATTAATAAAAATATATGTTTATTATTTTATTAGTTCCCTTCTACGTGACTTTACCGAAAAAACCAAGAATATGAATCCCTGCAGTCACGAAAGCTTTAAATAAAAAAAACACTTGCATCAATCAACTGGATTTCATTAATTCTGTGGCAACTGTGCTCTGTTGTCCTTCCTCTGCACCTCCGCTTAGCTCGGTTGGCTACGTAAAGTGCGAAAGAAGTTCAACATACATACATAGCGTCTGTCTGCGCAAGTGAGTGGGGTAGTAAGTGAGTGAGTGAGCGGGTGAGTGCGTATGTATGCATGTTTGTTGAATTTCTTTCGCACTGTTTGTAGCCAACTGTGCTAAGCAGAGGTACCGGGAGGGAGCGAGCGGGCAGGTAAGCAGGCAGGTGAGTGAGTGAGCAAGTGACTGAGTAAGTAGGTGAGCGAGCGAGCGAGCGGGCAGACAAGGGGATGAACGGGCAGGCGAGTGAACGAACGAGTGAGCAATTGAGTGAGTGGCCGGGCGGACGAGTGAGCGAGTGAGGAGGCGAGCGAGTGAGGGGGCGAGCGAGTGAGGGGGCGAGCGAGTGAGGGGGCGAGCGAGTGAGGGGGCGAGCGAGTGAGGGGGCGAGCGAGTGAGGGGGTGAGCGAGTGAGGGGGCGAGCGAGCGAGGGAGCGAGTGAGTGAGTGAGCGAGCAATTGAGTGAGTGGTCGGGCGGACAAGCGAGCGGGTGAGGGGGTGAGCGAGTGAGGGGGCGAGTGAGGGAGCGAGCAAGTGAGTGAGTGAGCGAGCAATTGAGTGAGTGGCCGGGCGGATAAGCGAGCGAGTGAGGGGGTGAGCGAGTGAGGGGGTGAGCGAGTGAGGGAGTGAGCGAGTGAGGGGGTGAGCGAGTGAGGGGGTGAGCGAGTGAGGGGGTGAGCGAGTGAGGGGGTGAGCGAGTGAGGGGCGAGTGAGGGAGCGAGTGAGTTAGTGAGTGAGCGAGCAATTGAGTGAGTGGCTGGGCGGACAAGCGAGCGAGTGAGGGAGTGAGCGAGTGAGGGGGTGAGCGAGTGAGTGAGTGAGCGAGCGAGTGAGCGAGCGAGGGATCAAGCAAATCGGTCGGCGAGGGGACGTGCGGATCGGCGGGCATGTGGGGCGAGTGGCCACCTTCCCCGTAGAGGAACACCATGCCGATGACCATGCAGAGCGGGTGGACGTTGAAGAGGAGGTCGCCCTCCCAGGCAAAGCCGCCGCGGAAGTACGCCGTCCACACGGCGACTAGCACCACGCACAGCAGGCCCAGCACCTGCGACGCGGCCACGAACCACGGCAGCCGCTGCAGCTCGCCGCCCGGCGGCTCCGTCTCCTCCATGGACGCCCCGACCCACTCCGCTCTCACCTCCTGCCGACCGCCGCTGCCGCACCGCCACCGACCCGCGCCTGGAAGCCCACAATGCCCTGGGGCACTGAGGTCAGGGCCTGGCACCGTCGGGGTTTGTCCGTTGTTGTTTTATTCCGGCTGGATGAATTTCTCGCTTTGCTCCGTCTACGGGAGTGACAGGGGAGACAGAAACAAGACAATGATCCCCCGTATAGCCTCGACAGACTGTTGGGGCAAGCGCTGTTAGCGAGCACCTGTGAAGGCCGACACGGTACACGAAGGGGTGGGTGGCCAGCGCCACGCCCGGCCGCCTTTGTCTCCCTAGCGGCGATGTAACAGGACCGGTTCAGAAAATCGTCACTGCGTGTTCGGCCGTGAGCGGGAATCGAACTCGGGTCGCCGGGTTCGTGGGGCAGCGCGCTAACCGTTGCGCCGCCGCTCCCCCACACCATCACCACCGGCACTGCAGATGAAGACGCGCACACTCCCGTCATGGAACGCGATCACACCATGGCACGATCACCACGATCGGCATCACACATTCTGGCGTGGTTTGCAAAAAAATTACATGCATGTAAATAATGAAAAAATATATATATTTGGCTGTCAGTCAAATTCTTTGTGGCTGTCACCATCCAAACACTCAGTACCTGGGTCGTCTCACGCCCAGCGCGATGACGAGAACATGCAAGACTTGCCGTGAAGAGCAAAGTGCCGGCAAGCGACCCTTCCTGGAGGCGAGGTCACTGAATGTCGTCAGACCGGTTCCATTGTTGGGTGAGCCCCGCCCCCCAGTCCCAACCGCCCCAACCCCCAGTCCCAACCCCCCCGCCCCCCAGTCCCAACACCCCCGCCCCCCAGTCCCAACACCCCCCCGCCCCCCAGTCCCATCCCGCCCCCCAGTCCCAACCGCCCCGCCCCCCAGTCCCAACCCCCGCCCCCCAGTCCCAACCCCCCAGTCCCAACCCCCGCCCCCCAGTCCCAACACCCCCCCGCCCCCCAGTCCCATCCCGCCCCCCAGTCCCAACCCCCGCCCCCCAGTCCCAACACCCCCCCGCCCCCCAGTCCCATCCCGCCCCCCAGTCCCAACCCCCGCCCCCCAGTCCCAACACCCCCCCGCCCCCCAGTCCCATCCCGCCCCCCAGTCCCAACCGCCCCGCCCCCCAGTCCCATCCCGCCCCCCAGTCCCAACCCCCGCCCCCCAGTCCCAACGCCCCCGCCCCCCAGTCCCAACCGCCCCGCCCCGCCCCCCGGCCCCAACCCCCCCCGCCCCCCCACCTGCCCAGGTATTCGCACACGAGGACTTTTGCCATCCTCTGTAGAGTCGGCGCAGCCTCGCCCACCGGGGTCTGTTCCGAGACCTCCTGTCAGCGGAGTCGTCAAGATCGGCCTCTGTGGAGGAGGAGGACGCTGCTGCTGCTGGACAGTTTGGAGGCAGTCGCCCTCCAGCAGCAACAACAACGGAGGGCAGAGGTAGCGACGCTCACAACAACGAGCCGAGCGTCGGGCGGATAAAACGCAGCAAGTTGGCATAGTGGGCGGTGCAGTTGGTGGTGCATCTGTAGGTCATCTCAGTCAGCCAACCCATGGCACCTGCTGGGTCTGTCCCCTGACCTCCTCCTGTCAGCGAGCCTCCGACACTTCACGTGGCCTCAACGTGCACCTAGCCTGGCACAGGCCAGGCTAGGTGGCGAATGGCTGGTATTGATGGTGTGTGGTGGTGGTGTGGTGCAGGTGGTGGTGGTGGTGGTGATTGTGTGTGGTGGTAGTGGTGGTGGTGTGTGGTGGTGGTGATGGTGTGGTGGTGGTAATTGTGTGGTAGTGGTGGTGGTGATTGTGTGGTAGTGGTGATGGTGTGGTGGTGGTGATCATGTGTGGTAGTGGTGATGGTGTGGTAGTGATTGTGTGGTAGTGGTGATGGTGTGGTGTTGGTGGTGTTTGTGTGTGGTGGTGATGGTGCGCGATCGTGGTGGTGACAGTTTGTGGTAGTGGTGATGGTGTGGTGGTGGTGATTGTGTGTGGTGGTGCTGATGGTGTGGTGGTGATTGTGTGGTAGTGGTGATGGTGTGGTAGTGGTGTTTGTGTGTGGTGGTGACAGTGTGTGGTGGATGGCTGTGTTTGGTGGTCGCAGTGATGGTGTGGTGGTGGTGATTGTGTGTGGTAGTGGTGATGGTGTGGTGGTGATTGTGTGGTAGTGGTGATGGTGTGGTGGTGGTGGTGTTTGTGTGTGGTGGTGGTGATGGTGTGTGGTAGTGGTGATGGAGTGGTGGTGGTGGTGTTTGTGTGTGGTGGTGGTGATGGTGTGTGGTAGTGGTGATGGTGTGGTGGTGGTGGTGTTTGTGTGTGCTGGTGACAGTGTGTGGTGGGTGGCTGTGTTTGGTGGTGGCAGTGATGGTGCCAAGCCTCTGGTCTGACCTCTGCTTGCGCCCGCCGTGAGCTGTTCCGAACCCAACCGCAAACCGAGACCACAAACCCTCACCCCAACCTCTGAACATACAGTGCACGCATCACTACACAATCAAAACAAAGATCCCTTCACTTGTGGCAAGATCTGTTCGCGAGCACATATGAAGGCCCGCCACCTTATGCCATGTGGGCGAAAACCAGGTTACGGAGAGCAAACGCACGCGCGCGAAAGGGGAGAACGCTCCATTCCATACAAAAGAGACAGACGATACTACACAATCAAAACAAAGATCCCTTCACTTGAGGCAAGATCTGTTCGCGAGCACATATGAAGGCAGGCCTCCTTATTCCATGTGGGCGAAAACCAGGTTACGGAGAGCAAACACACGCGCGCGAAAGGGGAGAACGCTCCATTCCATACAAAAGAGACAGACGATACTACACAATCAAAACAAAGATCCCTTCACTTGAGGCAAGATCTGTTCGCGAGCACATATGAAGGCAGGCCTCCTTATTCCATGTGGGCGAAAACCAGGTTACGGAGAGCAAACACGCGCGCGAAAGGGGAGAACGCATAATCCCATAAACAGGAGACAGACGATATAAGTCCGAACTTTTCTTCTCCTGGCGAGCCAGGGTATGTCTAATAAACATGACTACACCTCGACGCCGCCCATGGGAAGGGAGATTTGTTGCGGCATTCGTGTGGGTGATTTGACAACCCTCCCTCCTGCCAAGTGTTCGTAGTCAAGGCGCTACGTTTGCTTCCTGTGTAAACAATCACCAGGAACTGGGTATAAAGCGCACATACTCAGTGCATGAAAAAAAAACCCATCAGAATGCCCCGACGCGTACACTGTTCCAGCCAGCACTATGATTGTGTTACTGTGTGTTGAACTTCTTTTGCACCGTACGTAGCCAACCGTGCTAATCGGAGGTGTGGGGGAAGCCAATAAACTATGGGTCCCTGTGCGAGTCTATGGGTCTATGTGTGAGTCTATTGGCCTCTGTGTGAGTCTATGAGTCTCTGTGCGAGTCTATGGGTCTCTGTGTGAGTTGATGGGTCTCTGTGTGAGTCGATGGGTCTTTGTGTGAGTCTATGGGTCTTTGTGTGAGTCTATGGGTTTCTGTGTGAGTCTATTTGTCTCTGTGTGAGTCTATGGGTCTCTGTGTGAGTCTATGGGTCTCTATGTGAGCCTATGCATGTTGAACTTCTTTCGCACCGTACGTAGCCAACCGTGCTGAATGGGAGGTACGAGGGGGTGGGGGGAAGGACAACAAACTGAGCACACAAAAGGCAGTGATAAAGAAATGAGTTTTCAATCGAGATGATTTAAAAGTGCGTAGCTCCGGTGGCTTCTTAATATCGGAAGGAAGAGCGTTCCAGACGGCCGCAGAAAAGCACGTCCGGAAGCGACCGTCTTTGTTCGATGGCCAGCCAGAAAGCCGCCGCCAACGCTGCTGCTGCTGCTGCTGCTGCGAGGATGACACCGGGGTGTGCGTGGACACATTCCTGCGGAGGGAGCTGGTAGGAACGTTGGGTTGCTCGGTCAATGGCCAGGGTCAACGGTGGCGTGGTGTATTCCGCAAATATGCCCGACTGTGAGGGTGTGAGTAGGTTAAACGTTGAGTTTTATAAGGGCACCACGGGGTGACCAGCCCCTCCCCACCCAGCCCCACCCCTCCCACCCCCCACCCAGCACCACCCTCCCCACCCAGCCCCTCCCCACCCTCCCCTCTCCACTCAGCCCCACCGAGCCCTCCCCACCCTCCCCACCCAGCCCCTCCCCACCCTCCCCACCCAGCCCCTCCCCATCCAGCCCCACCCAGCCCCTCCCCACCTTCCCCTCCCCAGCCAGCCCCTCCCTCTCCACCCAGCCCCTCCCTGCACGACGGACGGACGGACACAATAATCCCCTGTGGGCTGGTGGAACCAGGTGGTTCCTACCAGTATAAAACGGAGTGTCAAGTCTCCAGTGCATGTCCACGGAGTGCTGTGAATATGAGACCCCCCCTCGCCCCCCCCTCGCCCCCCCTATCGCTGTCGCCCTAATAGCAGCCGACGCAGGCTGTCGGGGCAAGCTGTGCGTGTCAGCAATTCCATGGATCAGCAGCGTCACCACATATGTTGTGTTGCCAATGGTCAGGAGACACTCGTTCAAATGGTGGGAGAGGCCTGCCCAACCGGTTGAGACGTTAGCCGCGGGCGAGGGATCGAACCCGCGTTGCCGGGTTCGTGAGCCCAGCGCGTTAACCACTGCGCCACCGCTCCCCCCCCACGCACGCACATAAATACACAAAGACAAAGATCCTTAACAGACGTTTTGGGGCTAGTGCTGTTTGCGAGCACCGATGAAAGCTGGCACGGTACACCCACCCCCGGCTACCTTTGTCTCCCCAGTGGCGATGTTTACACACCGCACCAAGTACTCATTTGATGCTGAGTCGACCTAGGGGAGGCCCATGACCGGTTCAGATAATCGTCATTGTTGTTAGTGGCCGTGTGCGAGAATTTAACTGGGGTCGCCAGGATCGTAGTGCAGCGCGCTAACCGCTACACTACCGTGTCCCATCGAACACACACACAAAGATCCCCCATATAGCCTTCACAGACTGTAGGGGCAAGTGCTGTTAGCGAGCACCTATGAAAGCCAGAACGGCACACGAGGGGGTGGGTGGCCAGCACCACGCCCGACCGCCTTTGTCTCCCCAGTGGCGATGTTTACACAATCTTAATTTTAGAACTTTCGTGACTGCAG